AAATGTCAATTCTACATTCTCTAATGCTATGAAAATAACACATTTTATTTAAAAAAAGCCGAATAGATAGTATTAATGTATGTTTATTAGAAATAAAGCTATATTTTTAAAATAGAGCAAGACTACTAGTACAACAAGTATGGGTAGTTTAAACAAATAAGCACTAAGACAACATGTCACGTATAAAAGTGCAGATTACCTTCAGTAAAAATAGTTGCGATACACTTTTAGTCAAAGATTTTCATTTAAAAGGTAATTGACAAATAAACAAACGAACGAACAGACAGACAGACAGTTTTTAATTTATATTTTCAACTAAGTTTCTTAGAATGACAATTTTTCTTCTAATACATTAATATGAAGCGACCTTAATAACTGAGTTGACAGTGAAAATAAAAGGTATTTCCAAAGCCATTAGCGTCTGATAAGGTGATTAATCACATTGTATAGAAGGGGTCTATATGGAAAATATTTCAGTGTTCTAAATGAAAAATACTCTGGGTAAATAAATATATGGTTATGCTGTACTATACTGTCTGGGAGTTCTAAGTTTGATTCTCTCTCGATACAATTTATTTTAAAGGCATTATTATAAGTTCATTTGATTTTAATTGAAAGATAAAAGTGTTAATAATACTAGCGACTCACCCTCGCTTCGCTCAGGTTTGTCCCTAGGTACGTTTTGATGCTTAGTATGGAATAGATTTTTTTTCTTATATTTTTTCGTGTTTTTTCCGATGTTTTAATAGTTATTCTGCTATTCGGGGTGGAGACAAATCCTACAAAACAAAGAACATGAAAATCGGTCCAGCAGTTCTTGAGTTATAAGTGTTGTAACAACTCGCTCGACTTTGTTTTATATATATATATATATATATATATATATATATATATATATATATATATATATATATATATATATAACATGTACATACATATATTTGTATGGAATGAACTTAAAATTTTTGTATAGTAATTTTAGATTCAGAGAGAGAGCAAATCACTTGAATGTCATTTTTATTTATTTGTATTCATTTATGGCCTGTTTACAAATCTATATGAATTACGAATGCAAAAAAGTATAGTGAGATACTTACCTATTAATAGTTTGACGCAGCATCAGTAGCTAACCTACTTGGTAATGGATTGTCTCAGTCATTACATAGAAATAAAAAATAGGTGATCGTTCAAATATCACTTTAAACGTAATTTTATTATAGATTTAATATTAATTTATAATTATCTGATATTTTAATTACAACAATTTATGTTACAAAGGATTACAATTACAGCCAAGACGTGTAATAGAAAGTGGCTAAGGCAGTAAGATAGACGGAGAGTCTACTACGCTCATTGAAGTCAAATAAAACTGTAAATTATTACATAATAAAAAGTATTTCTTATATTATTTTACTAGCATTGCCCACGGCTCCGCCCGCGTTCGGATGACCAAAAACCAAATTATTAGGTTTTACATATTAGTGTACTCTTACATTGCAGTTTTTGTATTTTTTCTCAAAAATGAGATATTTTCCCGCAGTAAAAAGTATCCTATTTATGTTGACCCGGATAACCAGCTATCACCATACCAAATTTCATCAAAATCCCTACAGTGGTTTTTCTGTGATGCGGTAACAGACAGATAGATAGACAGACAAAAATTCTAAAAACTATAGATTCGGCCTCTGTAATGTTTGATAATAATGTTTATTTCAATAAGATTGTACAAAAATATTTAAAGTACAGATTCGACTTAGTTACAATTTTATTATATGTATAGAACTTTACATAACAAAATAACTTTGTTTTTTTCTTACTTCTTATTGTAGCAATAGTATTATAAGCCAATCTAATTATAACATAATTGCAGGCTTCAATGATTATTACCTGAAAGCTCCATCTACCTTACTATTTTAGCCTGGGCAAGGGGCTAATATATACAAAAATAATTTCAAGTGTATTACATTCGTAGTGCGATGATACTTACAATATTTGTACAATTATAACTATTAATAATTCTCATTAGCGCTTTTCCCCATTGTATTATTAAAATATACTAAAGGTTTTTCAGGAAAGCATTTAGTACTTATGGAACTATGAAATATAATTCGACTATATTTATCTATTTATATAATTTTAAATTATAATTAAATTAGCCGTTTCTTTTGGGTCTTCAGAGACCTTTATGTATATTTAGATTTTTGCTCATAAATTAAATATTTTGGTAAAATAAAAAATAACAAATGGATAAAAACATTTTTGAAAACAAGCTTTTATTTAAATGATTTAAAAAGAAGAAAATAAACTTTAAATTAAATCAAACCCATCGATTTATTACATTACACAATTTATATGATATTTACCTATTTTAAATATTATAAAATAGTAAAGAACAATACAATAATAAAGAACCTAAAACCATCTATAAACGATCCCGCGTCGATTGATCAAAGTCCCATACCGATACGTTCAGTAGTTTTTACGTGATGGCGTGACAAAGGAAAAATCGTTTTATATAGATTAAATAGATTACTAAGAGTTCTCGGATTTTAATCGGATTTTAAATGTCACGACACGTTTGGCTCAGTTTGTAGTGACCCTACTTTGTGTTCCAGCGGTCGCGGGTTCGAGACCAGCTGGGGGCATTCATTTGTGTTATGAGCATGAATGTTTGCACTTCAGTCATGGGTGTTTATATTTATAATATTTATGTAGTTAAAGTTATATATGAGTAGTGTATCAACTATCTGGTATCCATGACACTAGGCACGTAGCTTACCATGGAATTAAATGGTGATGTGTGCTAATGTCCCAACATATTTATTCATTTATTTAATATCAATTTTCTTACTAAAAACGGGATAAATAGAGAGAGCATTGTGAAAATTGATGAAATGCAAGTTGAGAATGCCGCTTTCAAATGTTGTGTAGTACTGCAGTTCCTGAAGTCCTGTGTTTAAATCCCGAATCGGAACAAGAATGGTTTTTACTCAGTATACTCATAAAACTGTCTGAAATTCTGTCTTGTGTGGTCTTATATTAACGAAAATATCTGGCTAGATGTTCAAAATTGCATAGAGAAATTCTTTTACTTGTATGCTCCAAATATTGAATAACGCTTTCCGAGAACTTTTAGACTCCATGAAATGCTTGAATATATTTTATATAAAATTTTACGCGTTTATTGAATTAATTCAGTTTAACTTTGTAAGTTTAAACTGAGTTTTATCTGTAAGTAAATAATGCATGCTACAGCGAATTGTAGATTTTAATGAGCAAACGAATTTATTTGGCAGATTTTTAATTTATAATTTTCAATTATATTTACAGTTAGCATAAATAAAGTGGGTATATATATATATATCTTGTTAACATTTAAACATTCATCAAACGGCTAGAAGGAACGAAACGTTATAATATAGTTTTATTATAGGTATTACATTTATTTATAAAATTATTACATACTAGGAACAGTAGGAATTTCTAAATTGACTAGTGAATAAAGCTATACACGTACTAAAATTAACATCTATTTACCATATAACATCTTCGATTATAATAAAATTTTTACTAACTTCACTGCCCGTGGCCTCGTCCATCTATACATATATATATATCAATATTTAGTCTGCAAATACCGTTTATATGGAATTGCGCAAACGGGAGAACTCAATTAAAGATACCAATTAAAATGAAAATTAAGCTTTGTTTTAACTTTTGATATTTTACACAATATGACAATTCCACAATGCTTCACAACGTCTCATACACATTTTCAAGCCTTTCTCGAATTATACGCATTCAAACAGACCGACAGTCAGACCGAGTTGAATGTACAGTATTGAAAATTACAAGAATATTTAATATACCATATTGACCCCTTTTTACTTTTTTATTATAATATGTATCTATTGACAACGAAACATAAAATATTTTAATATAGATAATTCATGCTTATAATATAATAATCTCTGTACTACTATATATATGTACATTTTCATTAATAATAATAAAACTATATACAAAAGTATCACAGGAATATTTAAAATTGAAAGTAAAATCATTCTGTCACAATGTTTTCTTATGATTTATTTTCTTTAAATATATTTATTTGCTTTGTATTGTGTTGACATTCAAAGGCCTATTGCCTTTTATATTTCTTTTCCTTTTATTATTTATCTACTACGAGAATATCTTCGTACTTTGAATCAACATTCGAAAGAAAAAACTATTACATATATAGTGCTTTAAGCTTTTTTCTATGGAAGCTCGCGGTAGCCATCCGCTGCTATTTTGATTTTTTCATAGTAAATTATTTTGACTAAGTTTTTTATAACGTAAGTTTAGTACGTAACTTAGATAAATTATTAATGCTGTTTTTGCGCGTTTATTTTTTTTCTTCTAATAAATACGTTATTCAGCTTGTAGCCTATTTGTTTGGTTACAATTTTACATTTCAATTCATTTTTAATAATTTACATGGTTATCTCCCAAATATTCTTAGCACTATATTGTAGAAAGTTTTTATTTATTTCAGTATCCTCTATGTGAATGTGTAGTTAATAATTTTAGTAAACATTAAAATTGCCGCGGTTGGCAACGCCACAAAACTTTCTCATTTAATTATTATTAACTTAAATCAAGTTATTATATGTCAGTTTAACTATGCTATTTTATTTTCTCACTACCTTTGTAAATGTTCTATATCAATTATATTTTTGAAATTGTTCAACAGTTTACATCAATGCTTAGATTACAGAAACACCAAAGTTATAACAGATTTTAATACTTCCATTTAAACTATGAGAATGGTAGCATAAGCTCTAACCAATGGGCCTATTCTATATCTACTTGATATGTAAACGCATAAATTGCTAGGCATCTTATTGCTATGTTACACGAAAAAATCATAAGACATCCATATAAAATAAACAGTCTTTTACTTACACCACATCGCTTTTATCGAGCAAATCGTTATCGTTGCTCCCGTTTTCTTGTCAGATGTGATAATCCCTTAGGGGCTTGACCGATTCGGCCGAAGATCTGGGGGTCGGATCGACCCCAGAGAGGCCGAGGGAACCACTTCTTCTGACTACTAAAGTCTTTGTTCCATAATCAGTGACAAAATTATCGTTCCTAGTGGGAGTGTTCGCTCGAACTGTCTGGTAGCCGCAGCAAGGAGGATATTTGGACGTGAGTATTTTTTTAAATGCCTCACGGAATTCCGTGTTGAATATAGAGTAAATGATCGGATTGAACGCGGAATTGGAATAGCCGAGCCATGTGAGGATTTTAAATGCGAGATCTGAAATAAAAATATATTGTCAATTGTCGATTTTTATTGTTTTTCAGAACAAGGATTGATATTGCTTATTTCTTATTTATGTAAAAAAAAATTTGTAATGATAATATTTAAAGATAATGAATATTTATAAAAAAATTATTTATCGTTGTATAATAAAAAAAACTGTGTATAGTTTCTTTTTTAATTTTCATTTCATTAATAAATCAGCAATTAGTTTATGCAGGATTCCATATTTTCATTTAAAATATAAGAACATAATATAGGTAATTTTAATAAACAACCATACGTTATCTAAACTAGAAAAAATATAATAAACATAATCTAATATACGAAATTTTCGTGTCACAGTGTTTGTAACAAAACTCCTCCGAAGCGGCTTGACCGATTCTTATGAAATTTTTTGTGTATACTCAGTAGGTCTGAGAATAGGATTTAAAGTATTTTTGATACCTCTAAGTGATAAAGGTGGTCTACTCCAAAATTTTTATTTTTATTTTATGATTCGGCATTAAAAACTACATACAAACCTAAATTGTCTTATTTAAAAATAGTTAAGTAGTTAAATAAAAAATATCTATCAGAACTCTAAAATACAAAACCATTTTTGTAATTGCATTTAAAAATTAAAGCAAACCGTTTAAAACACTTATATTTAATAACCACGCATTTTGGGACATTTAGGGTTGTTACATCCATAATGTGCTTTTACAATCTCATATATAATGAATACAGTTTGAGCCTAATTATCTCTGCCTCCATGACACACTCGACCCAAATACTTACTGCCCTAGTAATTATGTCTGACGTTATTTCATCGCTTATTTCCTTATCACGTATCTCGCTTCTGTTTAGAACTATAATTAATTATATAAAATTTTAGCGACTCACGAGATCTCGGCTTCATCCCTAGCTTACTTCCCAATACAATCTTTCGTCCCCATTTTCACCCCCTTAAGGGGTGATTTCTATGGTTGTAAACTATATTCTTACCAAATTTCATCTAAATCGGCTCAGTAGATCCAGAGGTAACCCCTACAACGTCACAAACTCACAATCTTACGAACTCACAAACTTTACCTCTTTATAATATTAGTATAGATTCTAAGTATTATGTTTTTTTATTGTATCGGTAACGTTTACCAAGGGCTCTGCTGGGCTTATACGGCTGGACAGATTTAGATGTAATTTAGTACACAGATAGATGTCCTGGGGTCGCATGTCGCTACTGGAAAGCATCTAAAACGCACATAAGCGAAGCGAGAGTTAGTCGCTAGTAACTTAAAACGTATCCTATTAAATAATCGATGAAACACAAATATATTTAATTAATCTGACAGGTACTTTCTGAGATTAAAATCTCAATTAAAAACAAAAACTCTTCAGCTTCATAATGTCAGTACAGATTCTAATATACATATGTGATATATGGATATGTAAATTAAATAAATAAAATATAGAAATAATAAATAATTATTCGTTTAATAAAACTTTTAAAATTTTATTATATTTATATTAAAGAGTTATTAATTTACTTTGAATTAACGTTTGACGCCATTAGGTTTTAATTGAATTAAGTTATATAAAAAGCATTATTCAAATTTGCTAAGATTTACTACGGAAAATAACTTTATATGAAATAATTTTAAAAACAAATAATTAAAACGTAGTATTATTTATTATTTAAAAGATTTTATTGAAATTATTTTATTTAAAAGTAATAACAATAAATGTTGATATAAATAATGTTGATAAAGGTAATTTGAAGTATCTTTTACTAGTGACTTATCCAAGCCTAGTTCGGGTACATCCCTAGGTGCGTAAATGTAGAATAATAAGCGTTTCTTCAGGTCATAGTTTATTAGTTCTAAATTTCATTGAAATCCTTTCAGCCTTTTTAGCATGGAAGAATAAGAAACGTACACACATATACTTACAAAGTTTTGCATTTATAATAGTAGTCCGAATGAATCATTCAATTTCCTTTCAAAGAAACAAACCAATAAATACCCTATGTACAATATAGTATAAGCAGTAAAATAAGTCCCCTAGAACACTTTTTTCCACCATCATCATCAACCTTTAGTCCTCTAGGTAATAGAACCTCTCCTATAGTACGCCTCTGAGCTTGATCTTTAGCTCTGCGCATGCAACCGCTGCCAGCCACTTTACGTCCATATATCCTACACTATGTCCTACACTACGTTTGCCGAGCCATGGTCTCCGCTCTAGTAATGTAACTTAATATACCTATATGCAACTAATATAATATACATTTAAAATCAATAAAAAATAACTTTAGTAATATTATAATTGAATATTTGATACAAAATATCACTCACCCGGTATGCAAGTTTTACAAAAGGCAGCGACAATGTTCACACAAAAGAACGGTACCCAGCAAAGAAGGAATACTCCCATAATAATCCCCACAGTGATGGCTGCTTTATGGTCAGACACGTGGTACGGCGACGAGTGAACATGGGTATGGACTCTCGTTCGAACTGATTTTGTTCTATTATCCGGCAACTGTACCGTCCTGGTGACTGCTCGAATCGATTTCACGTGCTTTTGAGCGTAGCAGTACAATCTGAGAAAATATTTACTAAAATTAGAATATATTATTTTGCAATCTTGAATTGATAAGATATATAAAAAAAATAGTGCCCAATCTCACTGAGACTACTAATTTGCGCAGGAGATATTTAAGTACAGTGTTGCACTCTGGTCTAGCGGAAGACATTCAGAATCTTCATTCATCTCAGAATTATGAGACTAAACCACCGCCTTCATCATTGTCAAAAACTCAATAATTATACTATGACTGACTCAGAACTCGAACTCGAATACAGAATTAAAATTGGGATAGGATATCGTTTCATCTGTAGTCTCAGCTTTTACATTTTACGAAGAAAAAAAAAATACTGCGCTAGCTCTTATATTTACAGACTATTTCTGAAAGTATGTGTGTTTGAATTGAAAGTCATTTGTAAAAAGAATAATATTTAACTTTACTCAGGAAAACTTTTGTACGAGACAGGTGACAGACGTTAACTCTCATGGGAATTTACAGAAGACCGTGTTGTGTAAATATTTAAATAGATCGTTTAGTTTCATCTTGAAAATGCATAGTGCTTTTCAATGCACTTTGATATTAAAAAGATCAGATGGTATTATACGAACACTATATTTTACATTAGAAGATTCAGGTTTAATCATCACGAAGTAATTTTCTTTAGTAAAACTATTTACTTAAAATTAGAGCATCTTTAGAGCAAACCTTAAAATAGAGAGCCAAAGTGAATTTTAAATATATACTTGGCGAACCAACCTACCAACATTGGGTATTAAAATTATTTAACTCTTCAATATAGCGTTATATGAATATGATTAAAACCACATTATGTAACGTGTTACCACGTACGCTAATGGCTAAAGAATTCACCAAATTTTACGAGTAATTAGTATTATATTTGATCGTCAAAATATGTTGAGAGTAGCGATAATTTAATGTTAACGATGCATATTTTCAATGTTAAATCAAAATTTGTACTTAAGAGAAATCTAAAATTTCGAATCTATTGAAAATCTCTATAGAGGCAATTAAGACTTTATTTTTTAAACAGCAGCCTGGCAATGTGCCAGTGCTTCTGATTAACACTACCAAAAAGAATTATAGTTAGTTTGCTGGACTGATTTTAATTTTGGCATTATTTTTGCAGTTTTACTGTATGTTTGTTAGTAAAAATCAAAGAAATATTATAAGAATAAAAATGACCTAATTTGTTTGAGGTTCCATAACTAATATTGATCATATGCAACAGGTGTTTGTAGTTAGAGCACAATGTGGACTAACATAGCGTTAGGAACTACTTCTCAATTATGATCAAAATGTGGCGAAACTTTGCGACCAAACACAAGGTTTCCACTCTTTATCCTAAAATTTATATTCTTATAGTATTTGGATAAATGTAATGATGAAATATAATTTACAATCAAATCCGCCTGCAAAGTTTATTTATGTATTATTGCTCCGTTCCTAACGATCGTAACATGATGTTAGATATGTAGCTCAATAAATTATAGGCTATAAAATGTAAATAGGATTTTTTGATATACTGTTATACTGTATTGTTCTGGTTGTCTCATAGATTAGCGAGTTAATTAAAAAAACAACCAACAGTGGTAGCTCAGTGGCAACGTGCTGACTTGGATAATAATTAATCAAGTGACGCGGAATCGAATCTCTTATATGCACCTCTTCTATTTTCATATGCAAGTAATTTCCTATATGATTACCACTTTCTAATACGATGAAAGAAAACATCATGAGAAACCCGCATGTCTGAAAGAACCTACTAAGTTTCTAAGAGACATATGAATTCCGTCAACCCACAATCACAAGTGTGGTGAACTATATGGCCTGATACTCCCTTGTATCGAGAGGAAACCTGTACCCAGCATTGAGACGAAAAAAATAAGATACGATATTACATATTCGTGTAGATACCTCACTTACCTGCAATATATGCTTATCATGACAATGCAAGGCAGTATGAACGATATACAACTCGACACCACGGCATATGTAGGAGTTAGAACCAGTGCACAAGTAGGATATCTAGGCGGCCTTTCTGTTGTGGTTACTTCGTCTGGAGGCCGATGAAGCCCTAGAGATATGGGTAGAAAGCTGACAAGGACAGCTAATAGCCATATAAGGGCAATCGTTATGATTGCGACTCGACGTGTCACCCATCGTCCGTATCTGTAAACGAAAATTTGGTATACATATTTTTCTCATACTATTATATTATAAGTCCGTCACTTATATGTCGAGATGTATGTTGGTCAGTTTGTTTCAGCGTATTTCTTTTTTTTAACGATTGTATTAGACGAAAATGCCGTTTGATACATCCTCAAAAGTTATGCGACTCAAATAATATGAATGTATAGTACAAATCAATAAATCTAATTTTGGCAGTCAATATTTGATTGTTAAAATATATAATATCAAATACGATATATATATATATATATATACATATATATATATATATATATATATATATATATATAATGTTTTGAAAATACACATTTGAGTGTGTACTGAAAGAGATGTATATAATAGCAATTTGTTTTTATTTATTCTTACCTTTTTGCAAACAAATTAAAATATAAAGAGAAACATATACATATTTCATATCATAAATGTTTAGAGAACGCTTATTTATTTAAGGAGAAGTTATTCCTCGCACTTCAGTGTTAACGTCGCACTTTGCTGGAGAAACTGACTAACTTTAGTATTTTAGTATATCTGAAGGTTTGTTTATTATATATCACAATAATATATTATTTTCCATAATTTCCCATAATTCTTTGAAAGTTTCAATCGGATACCGATTAAGATTTAGAAGGTATAGTATAGTTAGGAGAGACGGACTGGCAGACATATTCTTTGTGCTAGGATTCCCAAACGATCCTTCAGATTCAAATTGTTGCTTGGAACAGACACAAATACAGACGAATCAGCAATATAATTTCTTTGTAAAAAAGATACACCTACAAAATCTCCCTTAAAAGTATAACATCCCTCTAGTAGGCATGAACAATGAATAATTTGAAATCATGTAAATCGATGTATATACACCTCCTTCTAGAAATCGGTTAAAATTAGATTTTTAAGCACAAACTTACATCTAATATTAATTAAGAAAATTAATCACCATGGTTTTAAGTAAATTTAGAATTTAGGTAAATTTAAGAAGTTATGATCTATAAATGTTTTACGACAGTGGAAAGGCCTCGTTTCATTTCAACAAAAGGCTTTGAGTAATGCTTACGACGCTGAGAGCGGTAATTTGAGTTCAGGTGTAAAATTCAACAGGTAAAATACATTCTATGTTTATATTATTAGTTTATGAGCGTTACGTTGCGCGTTACGGTTTTTATATTTAAAAATTAGAAAGAAGAATTTAAAATTATATATTTACAACGCTTTATATTAGAAATAGCAAATATTAAATAAAAAAAGTGCGTGTGTGTGCAATTCACACATGGTAGAAGTGAAACTTCAGAAAAGTAACCTACGAGAGAATGAGATGAATATAGAGTATCAGGAGTAGGATAATTATAAGGTTTATTTTTTTATAATATTTTTTCTTATTATATATTTTATGGTTATAAATATAATAATGGCAACACTAAAAATGTAGATTAATAATTAATATTTTTAAAATTGTAATAATTATAATAATAACAGCTCAAATTGAATAAATAATATTCCATATTCAATTATAAAGCTAATTAAAATTATATAAAATGTTTAAAGTTAAAATATTGTAAGGTACTTTAGTGCCATTTTTCAATTTTTGAATTCATTTTGTTAATTGTGGGTAGGCTGTCTGTAACAACTATATTATAATACCTTAGAGACATCTAACACCTCAGTCTCTCCCGTGACCTTAATTGCTGTAAAGCATTCGAAACGTCGGGAACCAAAAATCAAAATAAATTCGCGAAAAAATACGAAAAGATAGTTTTATTTAAAATGTCAAGTATTCGCGTAAATCTAAGAAAGTATTATATTTTTACCAAGTTTAAAAGTTAATTTACATTTTATTTGACATAAATATACATTAAATATTATTCAGTAATTATGTTTATTATATTTCTTTATAATTTTATTACTTCCTCTGTAATGTATTCTATCTCAAATAATTAAATAAGGCATATTAGGCACATAAAAATCATATTTTTATAGAATATCATATACGGAAAGAATAGAATATTATATATTTGTGAGACAAAAACACGTGGCAATATGGCAATGTATTCTATCTCATTCTGTCACCGGCTTAATCCTATATATTTATGTATTTGTCTCTTTTTATAGTCGCATTTCCGTTTCATCGAGTTTCAAATCACGATTCTAAAGAAGTTTTACTTCAAAAAACCTCGTTGACCCTATTGTCACTTACGTCAAGAATAGGCTATCAAAATTCTCGCTTTTCACTTCCAATTTTTCAGTTCTTTTGATAAGTCAGTCAAGATGAGATGAGCTTTTTTTATATTTAATAAAAATGAATTGTATAGTCTAACATCAATTAATTATTTTTAAGCATCAATAATTTGTAAATAACAATCAAAATATATTTATTTATTACCTAGTACCTATTTATTAGTAAATTAATACTTAAGTAAATAAATATTAATAAAATTAAATAAATTTTCACATCTGTTTATTTCATTTGTCAAATGTGACTATAAACATGCCACAGTTTATTACAGAAGACCTAAAATGTTATTGAATATCGCAGGGAAATTTTGGAAAGGAGGCTACGTTTGTATAGTTGGTCAAGGAATTCTCTGATTCCTCTTCAGCCAAAAGCGTAATGGGGGTTTGGGCCGCTTTAAAAGGGGCGAAATGCAACTTCAAAAAATCAATAAAAACTGTAATAGTTAACAGTTTGAACGTTCTATTATATAAAAATAACTATATGAAACCCTAATGTACAAACTAGTTTATTAACCGATTTTCAAAAAGGAGGAGGTTCTCAATTCATCGGAATCTTTTTTTTATGTATTTTCAGCGATTATTCGAAGACGCCTGAACCGATTTGGAAATATTTTTCTTTGTTTCGAAGGGTATACTTCAAAGGTGGTCCCATTTAAATTTCTTATCTTATAATTTAAATCGAATATGATACTAAAACACTTTCTTCTTACAAATTATCTGCTTATAAATAATCAGATATTTTCGAAGTCTGTGCCAGCCGACGCAAAGCAAATCGACGAAAACGAAGTTTTTTTTAAAAGAAAAGAATTTAAACATACCTCAGAGGATCCTTAATATGTATATATCGATCTAGCGATATAGCGCACAGATTGAGAATAGACGCAGTCGAACACATCACATCACATGCAACCCACGTGTCACAGAATTGCTCTCCAAACACCCAGTATCTGAAATTACAATGTCGTATAAATGCATAATAATATAGATAACTGCCAAATTACTTTACTCGGGTGCGTCCTGTCTTTTTAACCGACTTCCAAAAAGGAGGAGGTTCTCAATTCGTCGAAATCTTTTTTTTATGTATGTTCACCGATTACTCGAAGACGCCTGAACCGATTTGGATTTTTTTTTGTTTTAAAGGGCATATTTCCCAGGTGGTCCTATATAATTTTTTTCGAAATCGGTCAAGCGATTTTTATTATTTTATTTAAAGTATTTTAGGACGTATAATTGACTCCATCGTTTATGGTGAACCATGGTCAAAACTAAATTTTAGTTAATAATAAAACGAAAAATAAAATGATTTATAGCGTTAACAAACACAAAATCACTTAACACGGTTAAAATGCTTACTTATCTACTAAAGAGCCTGTTTAAAAGTTCTCGTTATAGAAACTCAAGTGAGCGTTTCTGTGCGGAACTAACTGCGTTTATTAGAAGTTTTGTAAAAGCTTATATGCTTTCAGCTTAACTTGTTCTTCTTTGTGCTATATAAGTTAGCTTTGAGTTTAGTTAGGTTTATTTAAGTAATATTGAGTTATAATATAGTTAAACTAGCATTACCCGCGGCTCCGCCCGCGTTCAGGTGACAAAAACCAAATTCTTAGGTTTTACATATTAGTATACTCTTACATTACAGTTTTTGTATTTTTTTCTCAGAGACAATTTCTCGGGGTAAAATATGTTATCGCGGTAGCCTATATGTTGACCTGGATAACCAGCTATCACCATACCAAATTTCATAAAAATCCCTCCAGTGGTTTTTCTGTGATGCGGTAACAGACAAAAATTCTAAAAACTATAGATTCGGCCCCTGCATCGATAATAATATTTCAATAAGATTTTCCTCAAAATTTTTAAAGTACAGATTCGGCTTAGTTGCAATTTTATTATATGTATAGATAATCAAATATTACAACATAATAAAACGTTGTCTCAGTGGTTATTTATCCAAACGACAAATTTACCGAAAGAGTTCTTAATACGGAATTATTTATTTTTTAATATTAATTCTATTAATATTGAATCCATATTTTACTTTCATAAAGCCAAAAAAATGTATTTTATCTATAAATGTACATAAATCTTAGAAATAAGGCTTTGTTTTTAAAGTAGAGGAAAACAAACTCCGTACTCAAAAGTATCAAGTATTGGTCGTTTGAATAAATAAGTGCTAAGGCGACGAAAAGTTGAAATATGAAATTGAAATAAATTTTAAAGAATTGTTTTCATTATATAAGATGTAGCTATAGATGTCATTTTTATTTACTTTTTTTTATTATACTTAACAGGCAAAGGTGACTATCATAAATTACTTTTAAAGTAAAAAGGAGCCGTTGTTAACATTATTTTGAAAGTTATTATTATTAACTAGCGACTCACCGTTGCTTCGCTCGAGTTCATCCCTAGCTTTCTTCCCAATATAAACTTTCATCCCCATTTTTACACTCTGAAGGGATTATTTCCGGATAAAAAGTACCCTATGTCCTTCCCAGGGCCTCAAACTATTTTCTTACCAAATTTCATCTAAATCGGTTCAGTAGATCCAGAGATTACCCTCTACAACGTCACAAACTCACAAATACTCATTATACTCTTTATAATTAAATATTAGTATAGATTTCTTGAATTGCAATAAATTCTTACTTGTTTCTAAATACAACCCTAGCATATGTAACCAATCCATATACAAACAAAACACACCCTCGATCGAACAACAAGTCGATTTCTTCAATAATAATTATAACATAAAATACATCTACGAGTACAAGTATGTACATTTAATTAAGTTAAGCACGTGACATAGTCAGACCGTAGGGAATTAGTTGAGCTTAAGATGGCATCGCACCTCGTTATTATGTTATCTGTTAGTTTTACAGCCTTACGTAGTATTAAATTGTTAGCAACTTAGTAACACCTTCTGTGTGTTCATGTTTATAATAGTACATCAATTCTTAGACAGGTAAATATATTATTGACTTAGAGCTCATTTGAATTATGATAGTTTATTGCATTACAATTGGCAATAATTGCATGCTAATTCATACGGTTATTGCCAATGACGCGGCAATAACATAACTAAGTTGAATGCTACAAATGTCAAGGTTTATCAAAACAAGCAATTCTAATTAGTTAACACACTATCAATAAAAATGTTGTTTTAAATCAAAAATATTACAGATTTTTAAGACGATGTCATTATTGTCTTAAAAAGATTATTTCATGCAACAGGTACTAAAGTAATTTAAAAATATTAATTAATTACTTATTACACTCACGCTCATATTGTAACATTCAGTTATTTTATGTGCCAGTATGTAGATTTTTGGTATGAATATAAAATGAGTGTTCAGAAAAAGCTACAAATATAATTGTTAATTGCCAAATATTTGATTTCCTGGAAAATCCTTCTGAGCTGTTTCAATATATAATCTTAAAACAATTATTTCTTAAAAACATGACGTGTGTAGCTGAAGAATTATATATAAGGCAAATAAAAAAGGGATTATCCACTATAACATACATACCCCAACAAATCGTTTACTCCAGCGAATGTCATTACAGCAGCAGCGACCAACATGTCCGCAATAGCTAACGAAGCCAAGAACAGATTGCCTATACGTCGTAATCCACGATCCGTATATATCGCTATGCAGACTAGGATGTTACCCGCAGCACTTACGAATATTAGAAGAGAGAGGAATATACCTGAAAAAAATATTATCATAAATCATGAAGGTACTATTGAGATACCATATATGGGCATATACTTCACCATTCATGATCACTATTTATGATTATTATTTTTATGACTACTGATAATGCCACAAACTTATCTGATCCGGAAACGGCGTCGCTGTTGTTTTTAGTGTTGCCGCCAAATAGAATTTCCGCAGTTTTTAGGGTAAAAATAATGACAGCCCAAGTGCACAAGGAGTAATTGAAATGTTAATTTGACGTTTTAGTCATTGTTATACAACGTGATATAACAAGGAAAAATAATCAAAACACATTTTTAATTAATTATATCTTAATGTTATAATTATGATCGTGTAGTTATTGGTCTGGGTAATTTGAAGGCTGGATTCCGTAACGTAACACCTGACAAAAAAATGACATTTCAAAATGGCGACACGTAGTTCCAGTTTTGGCTACCGGTTCAGATAAGTTTTTAATCCCCGACGCAAAAAGAGAGGTGTTATAAGTTTGACTTCGATGTCTGTATGTGTGTGTGTGTCTGTCTGTGTGTGCCTGTGGCATCGTAGCTCTCTAACGGATGGACCAATTTCGATGCAGTTTTTTCCATTTGAAAGCCAGTTTCTTTGCTTTCTTTGGTTCTTAGGTATGTTTGGTTAATATCGGTTCAGCAGTGTAAGAGTATCAGCTCTTTTCCAAAATGATGTAAGGCATATTGGCGTATGATTACTCGATTAAGTGCTTCACGCGTGCCAGTGTAATCGTTAAATGACAATTAATTTGCGTAGGGATTTTTTAAATGTTTAATTTATAATTGGAACTATACCCCGCTTCACTATATTACCTCCATAGGTAGGTACCTATGGAGGTAATATAGCGAATAATAGCCAACAAAATATCGCCCTTTTTTTCTAACTTCATTTAAAGTTATTATGATTTTTGATGGCAAACACATTTTTATCGGAATAAAAAAAATCTATAGCTGTCGGATTTCTATTAGTGAAAGTTTTTGGAATCGGTTCAGTAATTTCAGATATTACCCTATAAATAAAAACTTACTAACTTACACACTTTACCTCTCTATAATATTAGTGTAGATGTGAAATATTTGCCATCTAATCCATTTTTATTTCTTGAAAGCTAGATATTTCAGCATTATTGTAAAAATTATGATCACAGAATCCCCGCTATAACTTTAGCATAGCATAATATAGTAAACATTGCTAATAACCCGTTTTAATTCAATAATAAATGTTAGTGAACCAATTTTAAAAACGAGGAAATTCTTAAAAATTGAGACGTCTGTAAGCTTTTTTCATGAAAATACCTAACAGGACTTGTCTTCCGACTTTCAGATTAGATATGAATTCTTATCAACTATATCAAAATATTTTAATAACATTATTATAAGCAAGAATATAGAAAAAAATAAAAGAAAAACGGAAAAGTTGAAAATATATTAAAAAAAAACCCGAAAAATTCGGAATATTATGTATTTAAATTATTATCAGCAACTGCCAGTTACGGAAAAAATTCAATTGTTTTGATGAAAAAGAAGAGAAGTTTTGGAGAAATTTAGCTTGAACATTTATGACAACAATAGGCTTTAAAAGCTGTTATCGGATGTTTCACAAGACAGCCACATTGTGTAATGCCTTCAAAGTTTCAGAAAAACAACCATTATCTTTAAGTCTTAAAATATAATAAATAAGTGAAGAGAAAAAATTAAGTATACAATCTTAAAATATTATAAAAATATAAAATTCGTTTCTATGTAATTAGAAATTCTTATAGATTGCTTTCTTGAAAATTCAAAAATTCCCATATTAAAAATGCTGATAACAAACGCTATACACTACACTTATCTATAACTAGAAAATGTGGAAGTATATACGTACATATATTACTTACATACAAACAAACAAATTAATTTTACGTCTTTAAAAAATATAACGAAACGGTATTTATACTATACCTAAGTTTATGAGCTGAACATATTATGTTTATTTTTTAGTGTATTTTTAGACTTACCGACTAGTAAAATAGAAAGCAGTGTGACTGCATCTGGGTCTTCGGCATCTTCATATTCAACTGTCGTGTCGTTTAAAAGCGCCACCTACAAACAAATTTGAATATTTAATGTAATAACCTTTATTGAGTCATTTTTTACTATTCTTTTGCAAAATGTTAAGTATTGTCAAATTCTGTATAGCTTCAGAAAATATATTGTATTCAGCCCTTTTTTAACACCCCACTGCTGGGCACGGGCCTCCCTTCAGTATGAGGGGGATCAGGCCATAGTCCACCACGCTGGCCAAGTGCGGGTTGGCGGACTACACATGTTTTTCGAAAACTTACTAAGTTCTCTCAGACACGCCGGTTTCCTCAAGATGTTTTCCTTCACCGTAAGGCAAGTGGTAATCATGTTGGAAATTATTCGCACATGAAAAAAACAGAGGTGCGAGACCCGGGATTTGAACCCGCTTTATTCGGTTTCCCAAGTAAGCGCGTTACCATTGGGCGATCTGTGCCTTTTTATGAGGAAATATAAACTAACATCTACAAAAGGAGGTTACACTGTTTGGATGTATGTTTTTTGTGAATTGCGATGTCTTTGCTAATTATGAGCCGATTTCCATATTTCTTATAATATTATAAGAAAAATAGGCTTCAAAGATTAATATAAATTTCTAGGGAATTCCACTAAGAGAGTCAATAATTACTTTAAATTTTGACTTTGGTCGATCAAAGCATCGGAACCTATCACTCTTCCCACTATCCCAAGCTGATACGACTTGTAGTAATTACTAAGAATATTACAGACAAATTAAATTGTAGATTCATAATTCATCATCATTATAATTTTCTCTTATAATATTTTCTTATTATTAAAGGTATACTAAGTTACTTCAAAATCACAATATGCCTTATTTAAATAGACTTTTACAAGCACTTTTGAATAGTCAATTTTACATTAGAAAATTTAAATTAAATGTCAGTATAAACGGTCTTTGAAGAATTTATCAACGCAATCTACCATCTTAAACATGGTCAATATAGTCAATGGATATTTGAGAGCGAATGTTTTAGCTTTTAATAAGTACTAGCATTGCCCGCGACTCCGCCTGCGTTCAGATGACCAAAAACCAAATTCTTAGATTTTATATATTGGTATATTCTTACATTGCAGTTTTTGTATTTTTTCTCAGAAATTAGACATTTTGACATAGACTATATGTTGACCAGGATAACCAGCTATCACCATACCAAATTTCATCAAAATCCCTGCAGTGGTTTTTCTGTGATGCGGTAACAGACAGACAGATAGACAGACAGAAAAATTCTAAAAACTATAGATTCGGCCTCTGTATCGATAATAATGTCTATTTCAATAAGATTTTCAAAAAAATATTTAATGCACAATTTCGGCTTATTTACGATTTTATTATATGTATGGATATAAAATCTTTGTCACTTAGTTATAATATTTGTTAAGCTGACTGTGAAATTTATAGCAAAAAACATAATTATAAGTCAATATTAACATGGGATATTTCATGGAATAAGCGGAACAGAAGTAAACAATATAAATTGATGTAGCAGACAGTGGAGCTGAGTGAATTTAAACAAAATTGAGTACATATACGCCACGGCTCGTTTCTTTAAAATTCATTTTACATTCTGTCAATATCTAGGTCATATGTTAGTAAAAGTAAGCAACCAACAAGATTAAAATATATATTTTTACTTTTTAACGTCCCTGGGGTAGTTTGACATGTGTCTAACTTGTCTTATGTAGTTTGAAGGTCGGTTTCTATTTCCACCTGGATGCATGACAATCAAAATGTATACAAGCAATTAAGAATATAGAAAAATTTAAAAGTAAGCCGAAGGTCAAAAATATTAATATTTTTTAATTTTTCAAAATGGTGGTATAAAAGTGTATGTACCATCCAGACAAAGAGAGACAATAGCATTCCCAAGGAGGGTTGACGTCAGGCATGCGGCCGGTCGTAAAACTTTTGCCAAATCCTATCAGCGGTACAGAAGATGTACAGTAGCACCGACTCCAAGTGATTGGGAAATGGGCAGGGAGGAGAAGGTGGTATAAAAGTGTTATATTGTGATATAATATTTTTACTTCAAACTGGCAAATTACTAGGTTTATTTGATTACTAAGTATCTTTTTGTTTTTTTTTTGGCAGAGGCCTTATTTAAAAGGTATGGCCACAGATCATATAATACGATAGGTATTATCACTAATGCGAAACCGAGTGAAGCATTCAAATCCCGGGTCTCGCACCTTTGATATTTTCATGTGCGAATTCCAACATGATTACCACTTATCTCACGGTGAAGAAACCTGCATGTCTGAAAAAACCTAGCAAGGTTTTGGAAGACATGTGAATTCCACCAACACGCACTTGGCCAGCGTGGTGAACTATATCCTGATCTTTCTCATAATGGGCCCAGCAGGGCCAGAAGGGGGACATTAAAAAGGGCTGAATATAATTTAACCATACCCATCACCATAGGAGGATAATAGAAAATATTGCATACAATTCTTAAAAAAGCGTATTTATATAAATATATCTAAATGGAGTGTCTCCCTCTTTTTGAAATGGGTCAAAAAAGGAATGAGGCTGAATTATTATATTCATTTATTAAATGTAAACTATGTTTTAAAACATGATCCGATTAGAGGGAGTTGTGTTTAGCGACGCATGTTAAAACAATACAATTTAATTTTCCATTTTAATGCTTAATTCTTCTTGTGTTGACCATTTTATAGAAAACTTTCCACAGCATTTTAATTTTTATGACTACTTTTCATTGGATAGCATTAAATGCAAGATATGCTGGCACGTTTAGTATGAAAAGAAATCTATATATAAATTACTATTTTCATTTTCTTTTCACTTACAAAAAATATAAGTATTACTTAAGAGTCTATTATACTTTTACTTTAAAATGACGTTAAAGAGGCGAGAACGAGCGTTAAAAGGACGTTGAGTGGTTGATTATAATATTATAAAAAAACTATTTAATTTCAAAAGCCATTAAAAACACAGTTTATATGGACACACTTTCTAAGCTAAGTAGCTTAGCATTTTTGACACTTTACGAAGTGCAAAGTGTCGAAAATATGCCATAATTAAGTTAAATAAACTTTTTTATAATTTACTAAGAATAAATAACATGAGTACAAATAAAAATGTTTAGGAATAATTGTTTTATATACTTGTTTGTTTCATTGCTTATTATACATGCTAATTAATTAAATTTATCAGTCTGGCAGACATCATATGAGCATTGAGCATCAAATTATGAGTAGATCTTTGCTGTTTTGTATGTAATAGGAAATTTAATATTATACAGTAAACTAGCGACTCCCCCTCGCTTCGCTCTGGTTCGTCCCTAGCATGTTTCCCCATACAAACTTTCATCCCCATTCTCACCCCCTTAAGGGATGATTTTCGGGATAAAAACTATTTCACTCTTCAATTCTATCAATTTTCTTCTATACAAAGCTTGTCCTGACAATAGCAAACACGATAAAAAATATCCAATTTGGTGCAGTTGATCGGAAGTTATGCGCGTACATACATTTCGGTGGTTCATTTTTATTTATATCGATATTGAAATTAACTGTATTCTAATAGACATAAAAAGTTAATATGACTAACCGAAAATCTAAATAAAAGTAACATATTTCGTCAACATTATATTTAGGATTAATTAATTAATTTGAGACAGACCAAAATTCATACTTTCTTGGTGAAACAGAAGGACGGATCAATGTTATTTTTTGTATGGAGATAGTTCCAGGCCTGGTGAGTGCTATAGGCTAGTTTTGACTGTGAGAAAATATCTCACTTTAACATACACAGGACATTTTGATACAGCTTTCTCTATGGAAACAGTATGTCAGTGCTTCTGTTTATTTAAATACGAATTCGAGTGAAGCGAGGGTTCATCACTAATATTATTATTATTATATCATCGTACTCTAGATACTAATGCTTTTGCAGCAATAAAACTTAAAAAAATGTATACTTATTTTTAAAGAAGAATAAAAGCTATAATTGCTGTAGATACTTTCATTTCAGACTTAGATCGAGGTCTCAGTGAGCGTATTTTTCATTGGTACTACTTAAGTGTAAGTAAATGTTCGCTATATACCATTCTCATACCGAACCATAAGTGTGTGGTCGAAGTTGCTTTAGAGCAAAGTAATTTCTCGTGGTTGCTCATTAGCATCCGGTAAACCCAGCCAGGAGCGAAGCCAAGAGACACAGAGGGAGGTGGCCCACTTCATTGGGTGGTGTACTATGCGGGTTGCTCCTGGTACTTCTATGACAGCAAAGTGAATCGTGGGAGCAACCCTGTATAACCCTGCGTGTAAGCGATCCTGCGATGCCCCATAAAGTGTAACTGCGAGTTTTAGTGGGTAGCACTGGCTTTTTTAGCAGTAAGTCTCACATAAATACCTGTATGTATACAGATGGTATGCATAAATGCATTTAAGAACATAAAAAAAGGCTACGTAATTTCACTTAAGCAAATTTTATAGTAGCTTTATTCTGCATTTATATATATAAAGTCACGTGCAGAAACAAGTTAAAAAAAATTAAAAAACTTTCTACGTATAATACATTTTCAGTTTTCATGGTGGTTCGTACACCGTAGTCATTCTTCTTTTACACCTTTTAGTTCCTTGTATTCGATATTTAACTTTGTATTTACAACAAAAGCTGATACATTCAGTGCAAATGAAAGCAGCCTGTTGAATATTTATGTTTTGATTTACATATGTAGGCCAATTACACGGTTTTAAGCTTTAGTACTCAAGCATAGGGTATATTTTTCAACAAGTTATGTTTTATGGCAAAATCAGCAATGTAGAAGGTGTGTTTCAGCGGTTTACTTAATGGGCTTAGTTCAGTCTTTTGTTTGTCAGAATGTCTCTTTTGTTCAGTTTTGATTGAAATTACTCTTTTATACTTATTAGATATAAAGATTTTATAAATTGGCTAGAGATTAAAAAATATTAATTATATGCCTAAAAGCATTTGTAATGATTTTAAATTAAATAAAAAAAAAATACTCTACTAT